CAAGTAAATACAAATGGGTAATCGGGAATGATTTAAGTCCTTTTAGTACTTCATGATTCGTTTTATTTATTTTATTTTTTTTTTAAATGTCCTGTACGCACTTTGTACGCATCAGTGTTCCCTGGGATCAATTTGACCCCAGGCTGTTTTAGTAGTATAAAACATATACAAATGTTTGTGTAGGATGATATTGAGGTGACTATTACATGCAAATGTATCATTGTAGTTATTGGTCCTTTAACAAGTTATTGGTCCTTTAACAAGTTATTGGTCCTTTAACAACATCAAAAATATCTTACTTTAACATTTTATTTCAGTCAGTGAGATTTTATTGTGATTTATATATTTTTCGATAGTCACATAATAGGAATTCTGAATGTATAAAGGGTTCTGTAGGGGGGGGGAAGTTGGGGTAATGTTTTATTTAAATGGTTATTTATGTAGTTGACTAAGATACCTAAAGCACCAGAGACATACATGTTGGTTAAAATGTGGAATATGATCATTGTCTTGACCCCAGAGGATAAAGGGTGTAAAGTAAATCTGAGGACAACAGGAGGGTTAAACTTGAATCACTATGATAGGATGTGTTTAGTCTGATCCTCCTGTCACACTGTCAGATTTGCTTTTAGTAAAACGTTGTGAGGGCTAAAGAGTGTCAGTTAGTATTAGTAAGTGGAGCCAAAATGCTGCCAGCTTCCTCTGGTGCTGTGTTTATGTCTGGGTCAGCAGTTGATCCATGTTGTCCACAAATGTCTGAATCAAGGAAACATCATCTTGTTTTCCCTCGGTCTTTCTCCTAGCACCCAGATATGAAAACTCTTTCTGGAATGATGATAACCTCTTTAGCTTATCTACTGTTTGTGCATGTGCAGCGCTGGTTATTTGCTTTAGGCATGGGTTTATATTTGTCCATCTCAGTTCCGCAGACCATCAGTTCTTAGATAACATTTGCATGTTATCTTCCATCCTTCTTTGTCCAGTGTTCTTACTGCTGTTCTTCGAGCACTGTCTAGACAAGCTGAAATGAAGCCAAACCAAATTCCTGTAAACAATTGAGGCATTGTCTAACACATTTTGCTTCTGTACATTTCCCAGCTTGCTGTGTGTGAAGAAACATAAGCAAGATTCGGGATGCAATGGAATTAGAAATAAATCTGCCTTTGTGACCCTCTCACATTTTGATGAAATGACACTTCTAAATGGTGAGCATCTTCTGTACTCCCTACCGTGACAGAAAAAAAGGTTTTAGCTTGACTGTCGAATTGAAGCATGTACACACCATATCCTGTTTATGAGATACCTGAATATGCTAGTGTGTACCCCTGGCCTGCTGTTGCAATATTCTAATTTTCTGAGACAGTCCTGTATATACGTTTTTATAATACCTTATTTATATTTTCTGTTACTCATCTTCCAGTTCTGGTTTGTTTTTGTAAACACCACAACAGTATGCAGTGATATGTTAACCCTATTTCTCTTTTCTAATGTAAACATATCCTGAATATGATTAAAACCGGGATACGCCTTATTACTGGATTACACAAAAACACTTATTGAAGAGCAATCATCACTTCAAGTAAAATGTACCAGAAAATTGTGAAGAATATTCTTTTTGTCATTGTTGGCAGCAGATATGTGTTTCTTTATGCATAAGAAAAAAAAAAAACTGGTACACATTGTATTAATGTTTCGTGATACAAACAAATGCTTATTTTTTAGTTGGGTATTGGTGTTTACCTTTTGTCCCCTACCTGCTCTGCAGACTACAGACTCCTGGAGGACACAGGACGCTTTGCAGACGGTGCCACCAGAGACAAGCTCATCCAGACTCCTCGCTCCACTTTAAAAGTATGTTGTATTTTTAACTGTACCTCTAAGGTTACCTCAGGAGTTTGCTCGGCCCACATATTGTTTATTTTGTGCAAGCGGTTGCAACTTTGTCTTAGTTTCACACTATTCCACTGATCAACAGGTAGAAGAAACGGGCCAAAAAAGCCATAAAATGCAACAGCAGACTGCAACCGTGTTACAATTGCTGTAAATAATGTTTTAATATACTTAACAAGTTAGCTTTGCACCCACCTCTCTTGTTAGCTGTGGGAATACAGTAGAAAGCAGTGATCGTGGTCAATAATGAAATGTCCAAACTATTTTCTTTCACTACCAAAAACATCATCATTGTTTACATCATCTATCCAAAGCTATCACTTGGTTTGTCTAATTCAAACCTCAAACAGGTTGAAGATTGTTTTGTACCAAACGAAAATAAGCTGCATGTGTGAACAAACCATTCCCACATTATTAGGTAGTTGTTTTACCTCTTTCAAGTCATAACATTTATGAAGTTAATTGTTTTGGCATTTAGGAACTAAGAGCAGATGGTCCTCTCTTTATTGTTGTTTCTCGTGCTCATATGTTAGCCTTGCAAAAAGGAAACACTTAATATTTGCTAAGCCAAGGTCATTCTCCTGAGTGCTGAAAATCCATCTCAGCACCATATCATAACTAAAATAGTAATTACTCCAATACAGGGTATGATTTAAAAGCTTATAGCATTTCAGAAACTGAATACGTTTCACACAAAGCAAGGACAGGACTATATATTCATGTAAAACATATGTTTCTGATACAAATCCCAGGGATAGAATAATGGGAATCTGGCTGAAAACAATTCGACCAAAACTGAAGCAGGAAACGCATTCCTTTGCCGTAAGTCGAGGTGCATCGGATGAATCATACAATAAGGAGGCTTTAGTGCCAGGTGCAATAAGAGAACATGGAGTGTGATTAAAAACAAACTGAAAGCCAGCTTTATTACTGGTGTTTTTATGAAAGTCGTTGGATTAATCTTCCCCATTGTGCAGGTATGTGGTCATTTCTTTCTCTGTACTGCAGTCTTCTAAGATCCACACTATATTTCTTTTTATGTTTCTGAGTCGGAATAAAAGTGAATGATTTTGAGGCAATTTATTTCTGAGCTGTCTTAAGTGCAGATCCTTCTCAGAATAAAACCGAACAACTTAAAAAGAAGAACTGGATGTTGCCTTTATAGCAAAATAATATTCTAATACATGTCACCAGTCTATTGTTATATACGATTTATATAAGTGGAACGTACATGGAAACAATAATATGAAATACCTCACTTTGCCAATTTCTACAGCAGTATCTCAATATTTGTATTTTTATGCTTTTATTGCTTAACTTGTCTAAATTGCAGCTTTAGTTATGGACATCTTACTGCGATTGCTCCAGACCACACACATTCATTTGATGTATCCCTGTGTGTCCCCGCCAGCTCTCACCTGAATCAGCTGTCACTCTGAAAGCATGGTAGTTGTTAGCTTGGATTGCAGCTTGTTCTTTTGATGGGATTTTCAGAGAAAGCGGCTGCCTCAGTGGCCACAGATCAATCCAAAATAAAGAGTCTCATTGTCAGTGAGAGACAACAGCTTGGCACGTGATAAGCCTTTGGAATTGAACATAGCAAGTGCAGTAATCTTTAGTAGCCTTGTATTGCAATAGCTTTTGATAAATCTCTGTTATTGTCTCTCATGCCCCAACAATTTGAAGACGCAACATGAGTGCCGGAGAGAAAAGGCTTGTCCTCTCATATTTAGACAAGGCCAGAAATGCAGCTCATCTTTGCTTTAATTGTTAATGAAAAATGCACAGCTGGATTTATTGATGCACAGCAGATTGATATTTATACTTGGAGAAATCCCCTACAGTTCTTTCCTTTGATCTAAAATGTCCGCCTGTCTGAGGCAAAAAAAAAATCAAAAAGCATCCTATTTTAGGAAAGGTCTCATTGCAGCTTTTCAATCTTCATGTGTAGGAATACTAAACTCTATAATGCTATATAATGTTAAGGGCTGCAACCAATCATTATTTTCATTATAGAGTTTTCCTATCTAACTTTTATAAACTATTTTATTGAGTCAATTATAGATTTCGTCTGTAAAATACATAATATCCTTAAGCTCAAATCAACATTTTTTGTCATTAACCCATAGGTATTCAGTTTATATCCATTGAGGACAAAGAACTTGAGTTGAAACTAGTAAATATGTGAAAAACCATTTTTGTTTATCAAAATGTTTGCCCTATTAGGTGAGTAAGTTAGTGAATAAACTGATTTCAGCTGTAATACTGTAGTGTAATCAAATGCTTTACTCTGCTATCCGTACTTTCTGTTTCACAGGCAAAGAAGCTGGCAGCCCACGCCAGAAAGGTGAACATCACACTGAGGTTCCTCCCCATCACCTTCACTAAGAGCAAAGAAAACTCCACAGTCTTCATCACAAAGTAAGTAGGTAGTAACTCAAAAAGAGACACTGTATTTGAATGAGTATGTGATTTTCATGCGGTTTACCCTCAGCTGTATTTTTAGCACAGGAGCACACTTATATTTGGAACTTATTTTAATTAAGAGGTGATTAGAGTCTCATGATCAAGTACCAAATAAAAGACAGAACACTAACACAAGTACATACATAATTAGTAGTAACACTAAGCAGAAAGTGTTAGGGTCACTATAAGTTACACTGCCCCAATGGAAATCCAAACATTTCAAGCGTTTTGAATGATGCGCTCAGTCAAAGATAACACGTCCCAGTTTCCTGATGAAGTGAAGTGCTGCTTCGACTGGGGCTTCTGATTAGTGTTGTTTCACTTTACCACAGGATGGCACTCTTGTTTAGCCCTCACAGCAGCTGTATCTGGAGCTGGCTCTCTTCAGGTCATTTTACAGCAGTATGGTGCGTGACTGTTAAACCTGAAATTGGTATTTTTCCTTAGGTAGTCTTGCATAACCACACCACTATCTGATAGTCTGAGAGGAGTTGAAGTATTCTACTTCCTGAAGGGAGATTCCTCCATGATGAGGATTGTTGCTTGCCAGCATTTGCAGTCTTGATGTTTTTCAAAACCCTTTCCAGGAAGAGACTTGGCCTTTTTCAGCTGGTCACTTTCAGCCATTTTGTTGGTGTTTGCCAGATCTGTTCTGATTTATTCTCAGCTCTCAAGCAGCACACACATTCAGTACCAATGCTACAGTATTACATGCTGCGGACAAACCATCATCGAGGAGCTGCACTGAATCTCCTCCGTTATCATATTGCCCTAGTGAGAGGAACAATCGCTAAACCTCTGTGTGACTAGGCAAATGAAAATAATAAAGTATAGGCTATGTTTGTTTCTGATCTGTAATAATACATTATGCATTCTAGTCATTCATCAACCGATATCAGAGAAGGTTGTTGGGGAAAAGGTCAGTGACCAGATGTTCCTGAGCTGTTAACCTCATCTTTTCATAATGACTTAAATATATGCCATTTCCGCAAATTATATTGAATGTGTTGTGTTGAATTAGTCGAGTTAAAAACATGTGAAGGATCTTCCAGTAAGCGCTGCCTCGTGAGAGTTTTGCTTTACTGAAATGAATCAAATATGATGAAAGAAGTCCCCAAAAGGCCACAAAGCATTTTAATGATTATACTTATTTTTAAATGACCCTTAACTCTAGTGTTGGGGAATAATTTCCCCTGCATGTCATCTTTCACCCTCTGACGCAGCTGACCAACCTTGAGCAGCCGTTTTCTCCCATAAGGAGGGGCTGCCCTAGCAAGTTGTTGTTGTTACCAGTTTATGACCGGGCAACTCTCTGTCAGAGATAGTTATTGTTGTGGGACACCTGGAACACATCCTTCTCGGGGTGTAGATGACCCCGAGCCATAAGCGACAACAAATGTGATTCAGTGTCCTCAGCTGTTTAGTCTATCTATTGAAGAATGTTGATTATTGCACTCTGAACTAGTTAAAATCTCTACACTGTGGTCAAACCGTGCTCCGTCACATGTCTCGTGAATTCTCCGGCCGAAGCTCCAAATAAACCGTCAGTGTTTGCCATCAAAGCTCCAGCTCTCCTCGTGTCTCTCTGAGTCCTGACTCCAATTGCTTCAGAAGTTTCCCCCACAACTAGGGTTGGATGAGTTTGGGTTTTAACCGTTCTTGATTCTTTCGGGGTTCAAAATAGGATACACTGAACCGAATGCCCTTAACAAAAAACAAGAAATAATAATAATGCTCATGGAAGTCATATAATCAATCCACTTTTATTTTGTTTGCAGTATTAGATAATATGATTCAATAACCTGTGTATTCCTTCTTTTTTTTTTTACTGTATTGTAACTTTACATTAAGATACATATGTCACATTCAGAAAAAACTCAGGGTGGTTTGTCAACCTTATTTGTGAAATGGTGGTCAATATAAACCACATACGGGTTGAAATTGAACATTTATTGTATTTTGGGACAAAATCATATGACTGGGTTGAGAGTGATGACTGGCATTAAAGGTGAATTGGAGAAACTGCATTCCATGGTGTGTATGTCATACTGCATACATGCTTGCTAGTTGTTTAAAATCTATTACCATCATTGCAAGTTTATATTTCTTGTTGATTCCTTTACATTGTGAATCTCGGAGCAGGTTTACATTTGTAACCATTTCTTGATGAACACTTTTTCTTAAAACATATGGCATTAGGGCTGGTGTGATTTAACTGTAACTCCATCTGTACTTTAATAATCTTGTTAGAAATGATTGGTGTGGTCAGATTTGCAGACTTGCAGTATTTTAGAGAGTGAGGCTTTTTACTTTCTTCAGACGCTGAAATAAAAGTAGTTATCTTGGCATGGGCGCTTTTCTAATTTGCTCTGTTCTGCTGGTGGTCTTGTCGTGTTTGGCATATTTTCTCCCTCCTTTAGTAACCTCCTGCCACTCACATTTCTTTTTAGGAGGAGCCATGTTTCTCTAATCCCTATGTGGAAGAACAGAGGAGGGGATGAGGGGAGAAATGGTTATTGAACTGCATATTAAAGTGTTATGAGTCAAGGGACAGCCTTGGGTGCCAATCAGGATTGCCACTAAAAAGACTCCTTTGTCAGCCCCTCCAGCTGGTTTAATGCTGTCACTTTCCCTTTCACCACCCTCTCTCCCATCCTTATACCACTCGGCCATGTCTCTCTTCAGGTGGAGAGGTGAAAGTGCAGGTCACATTGAAGAACAAGGTAACATTATTTCACGTTATAGTGGGTAGTCTCCCCGCCCAATACCCAGATGGTGACTGAGAGTATTTGATAGATGATACCAGAATGAGAACGTTTCAGTTATTTGATAAAGGTTCAACAATGTAACATTTGTGTGGAGTGCCATCTTAACGCTTTCTCTGCTGCACTATCCGTCCAGTAATCTTTGGCCAGCTGCACAGCCTTTTTCTTTGTTTAGTCTGCAAACACCTTCTAACTAACTGCAACAGTGTCCCATTCAGAGACCCTGAACACAAGGGATGGGATGAAAGGTATACAATAAATTGCAAGGAGAGAATGTGCTTCAGAATGTACCAAGTACACCATATGAAAAGCAGATGTGTGAGCGGTGTGACTGCAGCTGGTTAGCGACATATTCATGCTGCGCACACACGCTGCCAGAGAAGGATCATTACTGGCAGACCGCTGACTAGAGAGCTATAATGCCTGGCGATGGTGTGGGTATAAGTGTGAACCTATGTGTGGTTGTGAGCATGTTCCTCTCTGATTCAATGTTCGCATGCTAAATATTGGCCGTGCAACAACTTTTTTTCCACCTTTCGCCGATGACTAATTTCAAATAGGAGGCAAAAACAGTGGAGATTGATGAGAAATCACAGCCTGCCTCTCAGGCCAACCCCTTGGAGGGTAAGTATATAATAGCTGGCATTTGGCAGAACATTGGGAGTAGCTGCGAGCTGTGTTCGGGTGGAATTATGTTTTCTACAACCTCAACCTGGCATGGCACGGCATTTTCCTCAGAGACAGCTTGAGTGACCTGGCCAACACATTGCTAAGGCAGTTACTGTGAATAATAGCTGCACATATTTCTATAACAACCTGAGATAATTAGTAATACGAGTATCTGTGGTATTGTGCCATTTATGTGAGTCGACCATATATTGCGAATGGGCTTCAATCAGCCAAGCTCTGTGAGTAAGAGGAGACTTCATTTTGTTCTCTGATATTAAAGTGAATTTAAAAGTCAAGTGCTACTTGTTGATAAAGGAGTTGTTGATATTTTCAGTTTCCAATTCTTACTATGTGCAGTACATAATATTGATGAAATGGTTGTTGATTTTTTGCACAGGATAAAGGGCAGTATTTAGGATGAATGCAATAATGGTTCATTTAACATCCTAAACTCTGCAGTTTACCTTTTCTATTCTGGATGCTCTGATCGCCAATTTTGTGGCCGATGGCCGGAATTAGTATCGACCGACACCGATCGAGTGGGTGGGGGCTATGGGGATCTTCCATTTTTTAAAGTGATGTTTAAAACTCAGTTAATGGCCCCATTCACTAGCGCTTCCACAAACAACAAGCAACATAATTATTACATTCAAATGAAGTACATTATTCAAGTTTACATTAACTTTGGATAATAACACAAGAGAAATGAGCGGAAGCGCTCTCTTTTCACTATTACATTACATGTCACTTGTTAGACACTTTTATCCAAAGCGACTTACATACTCAATACTGTGGGCAATCCCCACAGGAGCGATTTAGGGTGAAGTGTCTCAGGGACACAACGACATGCTGACTGCAGTGGGGTTTGAACCTGGACCCCCTGATCCGAACACGAACGCACTATTCCACTGCGCCACACACCTCCACCTTCCCCTTTATCTCTCTCTCCTGACAGCCCGTCAGTATCTCATGCAGCTCGCTGATCCAGTAATGAGTGACCCGAAGAATAAATATATTTATAACTAGTTTAGCTTGTTCCAGAGGTAGATAAAATAGCTATGTGTGTTAGGTCTAACTCTTAGTGTGTGTTGCTCCGCTCACCGGTCCGTCACAGCGGGTGGAGCTGCAGGATGTCTGCTTCACACACGTTACATACCGCTATTTTATTATCATTTTCGGACACCTTAAGGCGAGACACCCCAGGTGAATAGGGTCATTTTTTTAACTTAAAGGTATCAGCTAGAAAATTTCTCCAGTTAATTACTTACAATAAGGCAATTAATTATTTTATTACAAGTTTTCTGAAATAGCATGTTTAAATATGCAAATTATCCATTATCTCATTAAATATGTGCATATTTTAACACATTTCAGGAATCAAAATCTGAACTTTGGATAAAGCCAGGTTTCAAAGTTCTTGTTTCATTTTGTAGTCATATTAGTATATAAGGCTTTTACAGAAGGGATTTTGGATATCTCTTTTTATCACTCCATAAATCAGAAAATACTGTCAACAGCCCTAAAATATCCATTTTTGCCATGTTTTTAGGTAAACAATGTTGTATAATTCAGGCTATGAATGCTATATGAACAAACCCTTCTGTAAAAGCCTTCATAATATGGATAAGGAATATATACTGGAAGGTTTGGTGTATCACCTGCGTGTAACTGAGAGTGGAGCATTTCGAACTCAGGTAGGGACGAAAAGAACGTACCCCCATTTTGAGAAAACGACCGTTTAAAGGATTGCAGTGAGCGCCTAGCTAAGCCTCCTGCTCTTTGATGACGCTTGCGCATCGACGCACTCCGTGAAGGTATTTCATGTTCGGGGTCATTTCTTTTTTTGTAACGGAGACTTTCTTGGCCAGCTCGGTCCTGCCTCGTGTCTGGGCTGGAGCCCGGGCGGCTGTGCCTGTGTTTCGGGATCTTGAACACGGGCAGGACGTAGGCAGCTCGGCGCGGGACTGCCGCGCGGCATTGAAGGCGGCGGCTGGACCTTCGTGGAATCATAAGTGGTTGTTCTCTCCTTCTTGGATTCACATCCGCGCGCCACGTAGTCAGAGTGCATGCCCGAATATGCCTCCTCTGTGCATAGGCATGTCCAGATCCTTCTTTTTCCTTGTTGTTCTGGAAAGCGATAGGTGAAGCCATGTCTTCTGTACTCATCATTATCCTCAGTGCTTTTTTTGCCTCCCGTGGTTGGACTGCACTGCGCTGCACACGGACGGCATATATTGTTCTGTGTGTCTGTTCGATATGTTTCTGTTCCCTATCACGGTCTAGGCTTCATGGTTTGTTTTCGTCTATGTTTCCTCGTCAAGCTCCGCCTCGGTAGGCGGTCAGCAGCGGAGGAGACGTTGAGCGCCCTGGCGGACAAAGCTGCGGGCTTTATGAGGTCGTTCTTTGTCATGTGTACTGAGCTCGCGCTCCGGTAGCGTGGGGTTCCTGCTCGGTGCGAAGCCAGCCGCGGGTTGGAGGTGGGCTTGCCACAGCGGCTCCGATGGGCTGGCATGCGGAGCAGGCCGAGCTGCTTCAATGCCTTTCAAAGAGGGGCACTTTTGTGTGATTGGGGCCTTGTCGCTGAAAGGCTGGTCTCTCCACTTGTTACGAACCTCGTCCAAGCATCTCTGGAAGACTGAGAGAGCTGCCTCTTCGTCCTCGCTGCTTGGGGTCAGTTCTTCCACTCTCATATGCGATTGATCTGGTATTTTAGGGTCTCCTTGGCCCTTCAGGCCAGGGGGATTCCAGGCCTGGCGCAGCGCGTTGGGCCACGGCTGCAGTCCACTACTGAGGCAGGCGAGCTGGTGTGCTGTTCGCCGGGGGGAGCGGACATCGCCTTCCGGCTTGGAGGCCTGGGCAGATGAACAAAGATGTCTCTTCGTGCTCATCCGAGTCGGATAAGAGAACTCAGAGGCATCCTCTTCATCCTCCTCCTTATCCAGCTCTTAGGACATCCTCCGCGGGTGGAACCACTGCAGTGAGGTCAGTGTAGGCAGCCCGCTTGAACAGCGTCGGGGCTCGCTCTCAGCGGCTCTTGACCGCCAACGGGCCAGCCTGGAAAACGGCGCGGGGCTCGATTCGCGCTACCGCCGTTGTTGAGCCTGGCACAGCGCGGGCATTCCTTCCGCAGGCGGTCGCTCACCTGTTCCCTATTTGGCCGGGCGGCGAATCAACGGACATGAAGGGGTCCTGTCCCGACGGCTATGCTTGGCGCGCTAGCCGTTGGCGGAGGTCATTGATGGTGAAGCGGGCGCACAGGCATGGCTTTGCCGCACGAACCGGGGGTATCGATAGCTTCCTGGGCGTGTTCCAGCCCAAGGTAGACGGAGCAGACCTGGTGTGAGTAGTGCCGAGCATCGTTAACCCGCGCCTCGAGCCTCCGACCTCTGTTGTGAGGAGAGAGAGGGTCCATCCTCGTTTGCCGAGGTGTCGGCGCGGAAGGACAAGCTGTAACAGGTGATGTTACCGAAAGAGTGTCCAACCTTATCGTTTTCGAAAGGAAAAACGACGGTGTGTAGATTTTTCATCAAACATATTAACGTGGGTGTGTTAATATCTTCTTATCTCCGTCTCTCTGGTGTGAGGGGAGAGAAAGGAGTCCGTCGGTCGCTCGCCTTGGTGTCGGCGGAGGAATAACAAGCACAGGTATGTTACTGTTTGAAGAAAAAATCCGAAACCTTACCGTTATTTCGCGAAAGAAAAAACGNTTTTATAATCTATCGATTAGATTTATGATTCGAAAATTATAAAAGTAGGGTAGACATGTGGAGATTATCCGGCTGAACAAAACGTGCATTTATCAAACAGGTTTGTTTTCCACAGACCTTATTTCCAGCTATTTTCCAAAACCCTATGGAGAAATTCCATTGCTTTTTTGTCGAGGGAACCAGCAGCTTACTTCCTGGTTTTAGGAAACGTCACTGCACCTCTCAATATGATGCCAATATAAACAAGGTCTTCTGTCGGCTCTGTACATCAATGCCGACCTATGCTGACAAGTAAGTGAAGAGTAGAAAATATAAAAGGTATTGGCTTTAGGGAAATGTCCCAGCAGTTTAGGAGAATGAAGGTTCTAATCTAATCTAATACATAGCCATTACATGTCTAATTCCTGATAATGACAGGAAGACAGAAAGCGCATTATACTAATAATAATAATACTACTCATAATAATAGCAGACATTTTTGAACAATGACCACAATATCATTATTTTCATAAACCAAATATGAACAATTGAGGAAAATGAGGAAGAACTGATGATTCAAATGTTGTAGTACAAGTAGTAATGGAGTTAGTGCATAAATTACTATTGCAACAAATGTGTTAATTTTCTTCATTATTAGTCGATTAGGGACAACTAGAATCATCATACTGGCGTGACTGTAAACATCAAGGGTTTTTTTTTTTTAGAGGACATTTCAGAATATCGCGATATATATCGTATATCGCGATATAGTCAGTAAATATCGCGATATCATTTAGAGACCATATCGCCCAGCCCTAATAGGGACTTCTGTAATTTGCATACATTTTTTTTCTTCCAGTTTTTGACTTTTTCTCATAACCTTCAGGTTGTTCCAAATAGACCTCACAATCAATGGGTGCATGCAGGTATGCAGTTTTCACATCCATTTGGTGTAAAACTAAATCTTCCTGCACTGCCTTTTGCATGACAACTCTAACAGTTGTCATGTCAGCATTGGTAAAATAAAAATTCCCTGTTATCTTTTTGTTAAAGATTACAGGGAGATGCTAACTTTAAACATATGTCATCCCTCGACAACTTTCCAACAGCTGTTTAGGCCTGAGCTCAGAAAGGTCAGACTCACAGGTTCATTTAAGAAAACGTCTTCAGTCTCATGACAGACACTCACTGTTGGCTGCGCCACTTGTGCTTCCTTACCAGCTAAGCACTCTCCTCCCTCTGCACCAAGTAAAGGCATCAAATATACCCATGTGGGGTGGGAGGACAAGAAAAGAAGAGTGAGAGGGAAAGTAAAGCTTTGTTTGACACACCTAACAGCTGCCAGTGTTGCTGCTCGCAATGTTATTGCATTCCATGTGACTGTTCTCTCCTCAGCCAGGAGGATTCAGCTCTGGTGTTTTTCTTCCGCCATTTTTATACCTTATATTCCACTTCATTTATTTTCCCTCCCCCTCGTTCCCTGCCTCCCCCTCATTCCCTGCCCCCCCCATCCCTCTCCGTACCAGCACGTCGTTGCAGATCTCTTGGAGTTCAGTCTCGATCTTCATACGGTATTCGCGAGCCATCTGCTGTTTCTTATCGTTCCCGTCCGTCTTCTGCTCGATGCTGGAGATGACGCGCCAGGATGAGCGGCGGGCCCCCACCTGATGGCAACAACAACCAAAACAACTTCACTAACGGACGACATCTGAGCTGCAAAGATACATATTTAGTAAGAGAGTAACTACGATAATAGGGCACAATTGCTATGTACTTGACAAATAAATAACAGACATTATTTTAATGTATTACATATTTGAAAGAAATGTGGCTGTTTCCCTGTTATTGAAATGTATAAAGACTTAAATAAAAATTAATTTAAACATGTAAATTAAGATAATCCAATCTGACTCCATATACAAAGACTATTTTTCTCATTCTAGCATTATTATGTGATCATGATCTTGATGTGAGAGGAGTGTGGCTCATGAACTAAACATACTAACAAAGGGACTTGCACCATGCTCATGGTTACAGCTAGGATGTACATGCAACAAGAAAAAGTACACAGTAGTCCTCAATGCTGGCAAACGGACGGAAAAGATCAAGTAAAGCTCAACGATAAAATGAGCAGAAGTGCTGGAGAACCTGAGGCTCCGGTTACGTAATATCTGCTTTAGAGTTTGGAGAAGAAAAAAAAAATCATGAAAAACGAAAAAGATAGAAGTGCAGCAAATGTTACACATTATTTAAATAGAGGCTACATTTGAAGATATTAACTCCCTGTAAATGCTAAAAATACATCAGGGGAAGGAATATGTTTTGTAAGCTATAACGGCCCGTCCACACTACAGCTTAAAAAAAAGCTTGCCGGCGGGCGTGTCTGAAGCTCGACCAACAACCAATCACATGAATCTCCCGTCCCTGACACACAAGCAGCGGTTTGATTGGCTAGAGCTTGTACTGGCATATGATTTGATTGGCTGACGCTTCCACCGAAAGCTTCAGAAGCTTCAAAAGTTGAACATTGCTCAACTTTTGCAGCCTGAAACGCCAGGAAAGCTCCGCTCTGCGACCCACAATTCAGTTCGGCGAAAAGCGAGGCAGCGTGACGTCACCCCATTCAAAGTGAATGGGCAGACGCGTTGGAAACCGTTTTTGAAGCTGTCGAAGCTGTAGTGTGGATGGGCCGTAATAGAAATAGGCAAGTCCTGTAGAAAGACTTACTAAACAGTAAGACTTTGCTTTATAAAAATTAATTAAAAAAAGGCATTTAATCAAGTGATGAGTCAAGAAAAGCCACATCGTACAGTGATTGCCCCAAACCACAGCAGAGTTTTGAGAATGAATCTGCACTTTTTAAGACAGGACAGAGGCCATGACTTCAGACGCAGCTGTTTCTAGATGCTTTGGGTGTTAAATCAATCTCCTGAAATGCCTCATAGGTGATTATTATTACAATAGAAAAACAATTATACATGTGATGGAGCTAATATAAATGGATTAGTTCTAATTCTTTCAACAAGTTTGCGTGGAGAGCGACTGAGTGAACTGCTGTATCACTTTGACCGCTGTCGGGTTTTCTGTCGGTTTTTTAGGCCACGAGCAGTCAATGGTCAATCTGATCTAATGGTCAATCTCCTCTAAACCCTGTATACTGCTCTGCTCCTGATTTATGCATACCACTTATAATAACAGTTATTACTATCTACTTTAACCCTTTAACTGGATATGCATGGTTGTTGGCTATAGGGAATCTGAATTTCTATTTCCATGGACTTAGTTTGCATTCATTTGTCTCAAACTAATTGTGTTTGAAACTCAAACAGCTAGTTTGATGATAACTAATTCAACCATGTGAAATTATTATTTTCCTAAAAGAGGATATTAATATTTGTTATTCTTTAGATTAGATTTAGGGAATAATTAACAGTTAAATAAGTTGATTTATGAAATAATTTCAGAAAATGTTATAAGCCCTGTGTAGCAAAACGTTTTTAGACAACCATTAGCTCTATATTGGGAATTAAACCAATCCATGAGCTGGCTGTTATAGTCTGAGCATGGATATAGGGGTAAAGAAAAATAATTAGCGCCCTTAGAGGGATGCCATACCACATTCTTGTAGGCGACAGACAGCAGGTTGCGCTCCTCGTTGCTGAGCTCTGGGACCTGCTCCGTCACCGCCTTCATGGCAGCCGCCATGTCGTCGTAGCGCTCGGCCTGCTCGGCCAGCTTGGCTTTCTGCACCAGGTCGTTCTTATCCATTTTTTAGGCTGCAGGGGGAAAGAGCAAAGGACAGAAAGATAGATTTAGCTTTTGGATTTCAGGCATTAAGGTTCTTATGTTACCAGCGGGAATATGCTAAATAAGGAAGAACGACCAATAGAGGCAATGAGCGAAATGCAAGAGAAATACCTGGTGTGCCGTATCTGAGGGAACATCATACAGGTAGAACAAGGTGAAAAGGAGTAAAGATTAAGGTTAGGGACACCACAAGTGTGGAATATTGGGCTTGAAGCTGAAAATGGTATGAAGATCCTTAAACATGAGGCAATACTTAGACAAAAGCTAATTACTCATCTACCACTGATACAATCCTAAGATCACTCACAGAATCGGTTACAAATAAAATGTTCCAGTGAAGGTCTAACTGGACTTGATAAAATGTCAAAAACCTTTTCAGTTCCAGCTCCCAGTTGTTTCATCCTCGAGGGCTTTGTGCTCGCCAGATGAATCTGAGGGTCTAAGTAGGCCACAGCCTCCATCTCCTTTTTATCTACGCATCTCACAATGAATCCTCCACTATGGGCTTTTACACTCCGCATTTGCATATCTCATTTATTGGAAGAACGTGTAAATCCCTTATTTCTACACTTACAACTGCTTGAGTACAAACTCAAACATGACGAGGTTAACATGTTAACACACCCACAGCTGATTCAGGATTTACCCTCACATCTGGACACGTTCCAGTTTTTAGACGCTTTGCGTAGTAACCACCCCTCCACTAGAGTGAAATTAACTCACCGCCCTATTGTGTTTAAGTATCTTTCGAGCTTAACTGACCTCTAACCCCCAAGGCAGGTGTTGAGTATTTTACCTTCCTACACAGGGTAGGAAAGTTTTATTCTATGATAAATACAACAATAAAATATTTTGTTTAAGATTTGTTTAGTTTTTGGTATCTATTACATCTTAGTATCAAAGCTCTTCAAGTATTTGCATTTTTTTAGAGTAGGTTTTACTGGCAAACACAAAATCTTGTATTTCTTTCTTTTTTTTTTACAGCATGGTTTTCAGTTTTGGAGTAATCTTAAACTGCCACGGATACAGCGTCCTAATTTTATGCAATATAATCCTCTGAAAGTGAAAAGAAAACCCAGCGAAATAAAAGCATTATTTTCAAGTAATATGAAAAAGAATGAGTAGCCTGTTGTCTGACTTCTTTGTTAAAATGTACAATCATGTGTGGGGAAACTGCAAAAGAGCATAAGATACAATGTTAACATAATTATCCATCATCAAATCCTTTTGTACAAGAATGAATGATTGATGCTAATTTTGTGACTACTAAATCTTAATTTGGGTAAAACAATTGTAAAAGGTATTCAACCCCTTTGAGTTATCATTAAGCAAAAGTATCATCTTCAAATTGTGTTAGGGTTGGGTGCTATAGAGGAAATTAAATATCAGCACATTGATTCAAGAATGCACTGTTGGGCAAAATGACTAAGTGGGAAAAGGCAAAAAAATAGAAGAGTGAAGTTCAGAAAATCATATTTGTTTACGGCAATGCTGCTTTTAAAACCAAGAAATGAAACTCGTAAAATATTATATTACGATTGAGGATTTCTAAAAGTTAAGAATATATCTAATTTCATACTAGGATAGTGATATATTGCAAAGCCCTAGATTCTGTAATTGGAGATGTCCATAACATCTTTTCAAATGGGAACACTGCTATTTTCCTGCATATTGTTCTTTGCAAGAGGGCTGAATCTATTTTGTTTCAAGGGGACTGTGGGAACCAGACACTTTTAAGTCCTGCCACAAATTCTTGATTGGACCGAGGTATAATATAACCACTCCAGGACATTTTTAGTTTTAAGGCTTTCCTTTATGGATTTGTGCTGTAAAAATAAATCACCTAAGTCACAGTTCTCTAAAAAGACAGCAGGGACCTTTACTATTGGAAATGTGTTTTATTGCATTCATATCAAGGTGTCTGCCTTCACACACAGCTTCCCCACAGCCTGGCAGGCCACCAGCAGGTGCCATGCTGATGTGCAGGGCACGACCCAAGCACAATGCTCAAAAAGCTACACTTTTCATGATCACTTTATAGATCCTTTGAAAAATTCGGAAGATCGACCACCATTTCTTGCAGACACCAAGTATAACAAAGATATTGTAAAAAATGTTTTTGCCAGAAGTAGCTTTTTCTTTAAACTATTAAAGCACCCATCAATATTGCACTCGTCTAAACCTGTCTCTAAGAACCGAGTTAGCGTCTCCTGCTAGTCCTCTCCTAACACGAAAAAAGTATTTTGTGGGAATATTCACAGCTGTGCCGTATACATTTCCATTTCTTACTGATCCTAAAAGAAAAAAAGGCTATTTGGGGATTTTTTTATAAATCACTTGAAATTGTTTATTTGATATCTTTAGTAATATTTATGTTTTGGATAACAGTGATTATATTAGGCCTGTCAAGTGTACATTGTCAGGTTTACGTCAAAGGAACTAGATGGTACAGAGGCTTCCGTGGCGATTATTGCGCTTTCCAAATTAAAATAGTTGTACTCATACAGCTTCTATTAGTTATCTTATGTTTAATTAACGGTGTTAAATAAGTGTGCATATTTTGTTCACTACATGTCAAAATATTGCTCAGTCATTCTTTTTGCTCATGCTTGTCAGCTACTTGTAATTATCAATAAATCACTCATTGGCCCCGAGCTATTTAAAAATCACTTGCCACTCTAGGGTTGAACAATATTTACTATTGCTCAATATTGTCAATCAGCACAGACTTAGTCATACTATTTATACAGTGGCATTCCTTTAATATGTCTGGTTGTAGCCAATGGGACATTTTGTAAACCAAGCAGGAATTATTTACTGACTATTTTTGTATAAACGTTTCATCAATGTAATTATTTTTGGTATTCAATTTGTTTGATTAACTAAATAGATACATTCAACAAGAGTGCAGACTTTGCTACTGATTGAACCAGCAAGTAGGAAATGTTAAAAAAGAACAAAAAAGTGTTCACAAATTTGAACGTGCTGCCACTCTATTGCACTTCCTGTGGTGTGCAGGGTCATTATTAGACTCTCAGCTGGGAGCGTGCCAGTTGCCAGTGCTGATTCAAGGGGTGAATCGTAAAATCAATTTTCTGCTGATATTGAGTAGTCCCAGTTGTTCACCAAAAAACAAAATGGTGAGACCATAAGTGTATAGGACCATTATAAATTCAGATACCCATTTCCTCCAAGGAGGGACACTGATTAGGAAGAAACACCTAGATCGCTCTAAATCAAGTTTTTTTTGTGTGGACATAAGGAGAATCGGATTTTGTATCTGCCAAATCCCCAGCCTAATCTTGACTAGGTGGTCTGGATCTGATAGTTTTATGAATTTTAATATAGCGGCTTTACATTACTTTCGAGGGAATGAAAAAACTATTGGTTTGTCATTAAAATCATCCAGATAAAGCAATAGACAACACAGCATTTTTTAAAGCTCCACACCAGTTGAAATCATGGTTCAGTGGAAACATGTTTTACAACAAATGTTTAAAATAAACTGTCCTAAATGGCTATGTTTTCTATAAATATTAATATACCAATCATTAATGGTAAATGGACTGTACTTATATAGCGCTTTATCCAGTCTTTAAGACCCCTCAAAGCGCTTTACATACTACATGTCATTCACCCATTCGCACCCATTCATACAGAGCAGTGTATGTTACTCTAGGACCTAACATTCACACACATTCACACACCGTTGGCCATGCCATCGGGAGCAACTCAGGGTTAAGTATCTTGCCCAAGGATACATCGACATGTTCTGAGACTGCCAAGGCACACNGTATGTTACTCTAGGACCTAACATTCACACACATTCACACACCGTTGGCCATGCCATCGGGAGCAACTCAGGGTTAAGTATCTTGCCCAAGGATACATCGACATGTTGACTGCATGGGCTGGGATCGAACCCACAACCTTCTGGTTGAAAGACGACCACATTCCCTCACAGCCACAGTCTCCCATTAAGACCTATTTAAGCTAAAATGCTAAACACTTGATAATTTGCTCACTTATCATGACAGAAATAATAATAATAAACCAAATGCATGGATATTAACTTTAGCTGAGAAAGGTGAGGCAAATTCAGCCTATGAGGTATTGGTGCAAAAAGGTTCACTTGCTGCAGCAAAAATCAAACCAACATGTTAAGTATGTCGTTAAAAGTTACAACATGATAGTCAAACAACCAGACAACATGGCGTTTTATTCTGTATGGAGTCATGGTCATGAAAACACTAATAATAATGGAAAGCATGTAGGATGCTTTAAAGATTAACAGGGCACAATTTGAATCACTTGACCTGTTCATGTTCTCTCTGGTCTTTTGGCAGTCTCAGGTTAACTTACTTAATTCCTATTAAAAAAAACGTCAGTGTACATGATTCTATATGTTGTCATTGATTTAATAAAAGTCTCCCAATAGTATAATGAAAGTGACAGAAATAAGCAAAGTGTTAATACCAGGGAAACAGAGGTTATTCAACAGTGTTGAATAGGAAGTGAAGCTTCAGCATGCTTCAGGCTGCATCCACCGTGATTTACTACACATCATGGTACTATAATAGTAAAACACTTAATAACATTTATCATATACAATCATAACTCAACAAAGTCTGTTAATGTGACATTGACTGACTATATATATATATATATATATATATATATAATAATATAAATATAATATTCATTAATAGAGTACCATCTATAATTTATACTTATCCTGTTGTACACTGTATAACTACACTACTGCTGCTATACATCACATCACCGTCGTTTGATACAATGCGTTGACAGACACACACATACAGTGGAACAGTCGGACATGCAGAGCGCTGTTTGTAGTGGACATAGCGGAACATTTAGACTCGTTGCGTTGTGGCGATGTCTCGCAGATAACACATATGAAAAGTATAATTTGCTCAGAGTCCAGAGACAGTTGTGGTTCGGTCCGGATCCGGACCGGAGTCCGGACTTTGAGGATGCCTGCGTTAGAGGCTAATCCGTTTCATTTTAGCATCCTGAAGTTAGCATTTAGCATCGTGTATAATGCCGCGTATTGAAGTCAGAAGTAATGAAGGGTTAGTTGACAGACGCATCAATCCGCACAACGGTTAGAATGAATCCAAATTGGTCTCTTCGGTGAGCTAAAATCATCTGGCACGACACCAACATTATTCTCTGAATTACCACTGATGTTATACAGCCATCTAACGTGAGCTAACGGCTAAGGTTAACAGGCTTATGCGCAACGAAAAAAATAGGGTTCACCATCTTTAATAGACCCGAGATACACTGAACAGCCTAAAAACCAACCCCCCAGTTAACATTTTCCCAATAAGCATTTAAAGCCCTCAAGGGGGTGGATATTCTGGTTTGTAATAGCGTTTAGTCGGCCTGCCAACAGCTACGCCCTCCTTGTCGCATTCCCCTGCGGAATTTTAAGATGGAGAGATAGATTACCGCTAGCTGACAACTAGCATGCTAACGGAACGTCACAGTACTGCCGCTGGCTTGAATCGTTAGCTTAGCTGACCCCGTTACATTATGTGCCGACGCCAAGATATTAGCTTAAATAGCTGGATAGTTAAATACGTTATGTTCTACGTCGTCACCGCTTTAATCTGTCGACAAAATGATATCGAGTGAATTTAAAATGGTAGCCGCATTTGAGGGGGAAACTCCCGGGAAATAGGGAGGGTGTGTTAGCTTCACTACGCCATAACGGACCCGAGCTAGAGCCATCGTTATTAAATCACGCTGCTGTTCGAATAACGGGACCCGATGCGTCGATTCCCCGGGGTATAGACACATTACACTACAATACTCTTGTTAAACATCGTGTTCTGAACTCGCTGTACTTTAGCATTTGAAGCTAAAAATGCTTCTTTGACGACGGCCTGGACACGGCCGCCTCTAAGCTGTCAAAATGGCCAAACTTGCGTGCCGCTTCCCTACACGGTCACCGCGCACCATCATGTATGGCATCGACCGGAGTCTGGGCCTTTACAACTCTACAATTCCCATCACATTATGCAACACAAAGAGCTCTGGCAGCACAACACCAGGTGTTCTGTGTGTTATTTCTCACTATTTTATCCAGTGGTCTCGGCCTAAATCCTCGCACCCAGCCCCTAACCACAATAGGCACCTTCCGCCGCAGAGGCAGGGGAATGGGGCCACCAATGGGTCTGCTGCTCCCCTCTAAAAGAGTATCGTTACCCTGTACACAAAACAATAATCGAGTGATATGCAAGTGAACTCACATTTAGAGCGTGCAAGGAATCCCGATTTTATTTTCTAAACGATGGGAGTTTATCAAGCCGTCCTCCGCTCGCTGCTCAGGGTATTCAGGGCAGTACCACTTCCGCCTGCTCTGACACTTCCGCTTCCTCTAAACTCCACCCCTCCCCCCGCCAGTATCCATGGCAACCGAGCCAGGGGGTTTCCTGAGCATCTTTCAAGGGGCTTTGACGTCAGGAGGACCATGGCAACAGCGACAGGATGACGTGCGCCCCGGTCTCCGTGGCAACTGTCTCCATGAGGCCCGCTGCTGCTGTCGTATCTGAGTTCACCATCGAGTCAGCTGACACAGCCTTGTGTGGGTTACACTGATTTCATTTTTCTTCATATATTCCAACAAGCAGGTATTTTTCTCCCACTGCACCACCTACTCAACCACTGCAAACCCTGCAATCAACCATTCATCTTTACATTTCTCTTTGTGATTTCTACATGGTTGTAAGGTTCATTTATTCATCCTTTACAATAATGGTTGCACAATTATACGTAATTGGTTGCCCCTTCAAGCTACAAGCCTGTAAAACATATAGCCTATACAAATATTACAATTTTAATAGCCATCATGCTATAACTTTGCTTTAAGTCATTATTCTGAACTACACATTGATTGCACAATTTATGGCTGTGTTATATTGACACCATAATTGTTTAGATTGAGCCCACATCAGCCTTGCTTTCATTCTTGCATTGCTGCAACCGTGAATGATTCCCTAGGAAAATGAAGGCTCTATTTAATAATTCAATTACTATTTCTTCATTTGGAAAAATTTGTGAATTTGACAAGGTTCATTCATCTATCAAGGATTCAAGGAGTCAAGGCTTGCCTTGTATTGTCATGTGCACAGTGTAGATATGGCAATTAAAAACTTAAAGGTGGGGTATGTAATTTATTTCAGAAACACTTTTTGTTATATTCCATTCCATGGAATGCTCTTAACATCCCGATAGCAATGAATATATTAAATGCTTTGACAATAAATACATAAAACATTTCATCTGTGGAAGCCGTGGCGCTGTAAAAAGCACGACCAATCATCTGAGCCGGCCCGGCTAAAATAACTGGATGGCCTACCTGCCTGTCAGCCTTCCATCTGTGCACAAAATTATCTCGTGCCCTCATTGGTCATGTGCGCGTTCGTGTGTGTTGGAGGAGGGGCTCTGTAAGGAAGTCGGAAGGAAGAGGCAGATTTTTTCCGGTTGTGTATTTTCAAATGCTAGCACACTCGAGCTGGTTTCTCCATTCTTACCTACCCTACCTTTAAGGTATGCTAAAGATGCAGTGGCTTGAGTTGTTGCAATTAAGGGGGACTAAGGCAAACATTTGAGTTATTCATACCTATGAATATGAAAAGCGAAAGGGAGAAAAGTCAGGCGTGTGAGACATAAAGGACGATGGAAAATGGGTGGATTATTCCAAAATAAAAATGATAATTGATAGCAGTCGCATTGTGTGGAATGTACATTTAAAAAGTAGATCATATTATGAAAGTACAAAGTGTGTCTGCATTAAACATTTTTGTGTATCTACACATTTTTGCATTATTATTATGTGTATAAAGAGCTTAGTATACGATGCATAATGTATTAATTTAAACAAGACTTTAAAATCAAGCACAAAAATGAAAAAAATAAATGAGATTTGTTCCTTTAAATTATTCAATTGCAAGGCCGTGTTTAGGTACAATAAAGCAAACATTCGGGGCTCATAACTTCAAATGTGACGTAAATGTATAAATATATGAATAATACAGGAAACACATTACTATGGTAGGTAGAAGAGATCTGGAGCAGCAGCATGATAACAAGGAAGATAGGAAGAGAAAGTATGTGGGGCTGTTTAAATGCTGCCTCTACATGCCTGCAGAGAAACTGTGTTTACACTAATAGAAAAACAACGTGGTGTCAAAATGCACAGGGAGGGTGCAGACTGTTCCTGTGGTCTGTGAGCGCAGGAGAAACCAACGCTCCCTGAACGCAACACGTCTTTTCAAAACCAGCTTTCCACGCTGGAGTGGACGAAAGGTGCCTAGCATGAAAGAAGATCTATTATCACTGTTGACGAGGATACATGTCTTCCACTCTTATCCTAAGGCTAAACAACCGGCAGCAGAATAATGGATCCTGCAGGCAGCCGTGCTTTTAGACACAAATCAATAAAACAGGTTTTTTTTTACCCTCCAAACACTGCCACAGACTTTCAATCACACTGCACCAATTGCTCCCAAAAAATATAAAAACATCAGAGACCATCATGAAAAGCCTCAGCAGAGCGACGTCCTGTTTGTTTGATATTGACTCTGCTGTTCAGAGGCGCTCTGATATGATTAGATCTCCACTCCATGAAGAAGGTCGCGTCAGGAGGGCACTCACATACCGAAAATATAATGATACTCAGAATGATGAGGCTGGACCTTTATATTCATTGAAAATATGTTAGAAATATATGTTGAAATATCTACTGATTCCGGCTTCTCAAATATGCAGATTTGAATCTTTTCTATGACCATTTCTATAAGTAAGCTGAATATTTATTCCCAAATTAAGTTGAAATATGTAATTGCGCTGAAAGTGATAACGGGCACTCAGTATTCAGTATCATTGGTTTGAAAAACAAAAGGCATTTTTGTCTAGAAATAACCAGCCGATGAATCAAGATTTAAAATAATTTATTGCAGCCCAAAAAAGGCTTATTGTTAAAAGAAAAATCGGCAGCAAAAAATAGAGGTTAAATGCAGGTCCACGAAGATCAGTTAATTAAAAAAGAAAGAAAGAGAAGATAATGGGTCAATAGATTTTCTCAGAGGGATCAATAAACCTCTCACCTTGTGACCTCGTATTATTAATGCATTTTCCTCAGTGTGTTAAAGCCGTGGTCAGCATTTAGGCGTACTGTTGTAAATAGAGTGGACATTTAATAAAAAAACACCATAATATACTAGTCAGTTTACTTAAATACAAGTAAATAGCACAACACGACAGCCTCCAGAATGATCCATTTGATACTGATAGAGCCAGCATTTTGATTTGATAAGAAAGGTCACCTTTGAATCTGCTCTAAAGTGGTTCCTGAGTGGAGATGGATGGGCAGCAGTGCTTGAGAAGATGAAGCATATAAAAAAACGCCCGTCTGTGTTTGTGCCCGAACAAAGTAAGTGAGGATCAATCATTTATGGATTTTTACCCAGCCTGTGTTTTTACATGAGGTGTTTCTCAATGTCGAGGAGGCTTGCTTGGTAGCACATGTACCTCAGAGTGAGTTCCTTAAGAAGCGAGGCAAGAAAACCTCCTAGCCTCGGAAAACGAAGAATGGAACAGCCTAGCAAGTGTGCAGGTGTGCCTCACATGAGACCCCGCCTTACATTTTCCGCCAAAGATTTTGGAAATTGGTCCGTGCGCAAAGCATTGTG